ACCTTCAATTCTAATAATAAAACACAATATTCTATAAAACTGTACATATAGAGACCGAAAAAAATTGTGTTAAACACTCTGCATATAATTCAAACGAATGAGGGATTAACTAGAATGTTAATCACGCAAGAAATTTAGCATCAAATCTTACGCTGCCGTGAATGTTCTAAACCTGGAACGCTTACTAGCAATAGAGGAACTCTTTCCAGCAAGCTTCAATCGTTGCTCCTGAACATCTCGTCTATAAGCAGGAATTTAAAAGCAAAGAAAACGCCAAGAAAATTCACCATATCGATATTGAAAACGTTTTGGAGTCCAGCTCCATCATCAGTTCGACTAAACTAAAAATGAATAAAATCACTTTAAAAGTCAAAATTCAAAGACAGACATAAAACCTAAACAAGACCTAACATTATATCGAAATAAACAGNACCAGAACGTGGCAGATGAAAATTGCATCTCCGTAGCGGCGAGCGTCACGCGCCCTGCAGGATGTTTTAAGACATTATAATTGGATAATAAATTGTCAGTTTACACTATACACCAAGCAAAATATTAAATGATAAATCAATGACAATGACAATTATAAATGATTAAGTACCGGAACACTAATCAAAGAGTTAGGACCACTCATTAATGCAACGACCCACATGGCCAAATGCGAACGATATCGAATCATCGAGGAAGTAAGTATACGGTGGCAATAGGTACATATAAATCTTACAACTTCAAATGCGGCATGAGAAAATGTGCCTAGCCTTACTGTTTTGGTCAATGAGATAACCAGAGGCCGTACTATTAAAACTCTCTTAGGAACACGTAGCGGCCTAAGTACACGTAGTGCCCATCTCTCGTCACTGATTAGTGTGCTCAGCTTGAAAAACTGAACTGATGAAGTGGTTAATACCGTATGAAAAGTGAAAACTCATATATGTGGTTACATGACAGGAATCCACTTACTGATCCGAGAAATAAGCTCCTCTTCCGTACATTTGTCCTGTCTTGGTTCCATGCAGTCGCCAGTCGATGTTTTCGTCGGCTATAGATGCGACGTTGCTCGAGCTCGTGCCATGGAAGAGGCATTTCACCTCGTACTGAACATTTGGATTTTGATTCTGAAGCTGAGCTCTCTTGTTTTCAAACGCATTTATTAAGTAAGGGTTGTTGATTTTAAGGATGCTCCGGGGGTTGCAGTTTAATGTGTAGATCAGCAGCTCTAGAACTCTGGAGTACTCAGCATGTTCTGGTGCAATGGACATCCTAGAACACATTGGTCCATTAGGGGTTTGTAATAACTTAATTTCTGGAGACCTATTACCACGGATATACGCATCACAACGGAAAGGATCTCTCACTCGTCGTACGTCCCTGACGACTAAGGTTCTCAGGTTGGTCTGTTTCATCGTGTTGAAATCAAGTGTGTATTTATGTATTTGACTGCTAATTTGTATTTTCGAATTAGGATTCTTTACAAACTCTCGCTCTATGGTTTCTGAAGAAGTAGCCGTCATTCTACAATCTGGGTGAACAAAAAAGATACTATGGAACCAGAAACAACCAGAGCTGACTTTTCCGTACTCGATCCAGTTGTTGTGTTCATCTCTGAACTGCCACTTGTAACCCGACATTTCAGAAGAGGTGTAGTCGCCAATGGGGGACGAAACTGAGTATAAACTCTCGACGTATGGAAGAAGAGGTCGTTTCAATTTGGGAGCTTGTTTTTGTGCTGGTCGTAAGTAAATAATTTATTAACGCAATAGCTGACTGATGAATCGGCTGTAAAAGAGAAGGAAACTCTGATTCTGATAAAAAATTATGAATACTCATTATGAAAGGAAATGAATGTAAATTATGAATACACACAAAAAAATTATGAATGCGCAAGCGAACGAAAGAATTTCTTCCAAACTACTGAATAGATTTGAACGAAATTTTGAATATACATTCCTAACTACCAAACGGTGATTTTTTAACTTCTAAAAATTTTCGNTTTACCGCGCCCCAAAATCTTTCCATCGCCCCTAGGGGGGCGCTATCGCCCACTTTGGGAACCACTGCTATATAGCGACAGCGAAGATGCCGTCCCGTTTTCTTCGACTTGGTCATAGAGACAAGTTGTGAGGGAGACTACTTTAGTCTCCGCCTACCGCCTCATCTTCATGGCCTTACTGCCGACTTATGTTTCATTGCGTCTCTTTTAATTTGAAACATATTAGGCAATTTAAGATATTGTTCTCTAAAACAAACTCACGATTCCAGGTAGCTATCGTAATCGTATTTCAATCCTAACCCAGCGTTGGCACTTTAATCGTAATTAAAGCCCAACCCAGCGTTGGCGAATGCAAGCATAAGCAAGGAACTGCCAATAATTGGTATATCTGGCCTAACTCTTCCTGAAGCTGAAAGTGATAAACGTAGCCATCGTCAAATTGCGTCTCTCCTGCCTGCCACAACCACCATGTGTGAGTAACTAATGAAATACTGATCAACTGACCATTATGACAAAGTCATAAACCATTCCTCTCACGCCAGCTGTAATCTTGTGTCATCGAGTAGTCAATTAACAACGTTCAGCTACAACGTTATTAATTAAGCCTAAACAATGAGAGTCCAGCTCCTTCTTAGTGTAGGTTTCAAGTATGTATTTTCCAACTTCCTAACTAACATTAAATCTTATTTCAAGCTTACGTCACCAAGTCACTTACGTCACCATTGGCACCAACGATAGCAAGTAAAAACTAGAAAAAGAAAAGCATCTTTTCTTCTCACCCAACACACCATAACCGTGTCATTGGTAGTTCCGGGAGAAATCTGTAATAGAACTGGCGACATTTTAGACCTAAGAAGAGGTTCTTGACAATACAACTGTTGAACTCAATACAACAATCTAACAATAATGGCTTGGCGTAGAATTGTCCATACAATATGTGCATAATGACATCAATTACATGAACTTGGTATCAATAATTCTAGAGTCATAAACAAACAACTGACAAGAGGAAAGCACAAAGATTCAGTGTGCAGTATGAACCATAGTCACACATTACGAGGTAACACAACATGTGCACGAGCAGCTACATGCCACTCACCCGAGCTCTATGAGCACACTGGTACAAGTGAAGTGAACACTGCAAGAAGAAGAAATTTAAAAGCAATGAAAATTCCCCAGAAGTTCTTACCTTTATAGAAAACGTTTAGGTGTCCAGCGCCACCTGGAATCTGCCTTAACTTTCTGATTAAAGATGTAAATGACCTATTTATTGGTTTTAACTTCAGTTTTTTCAATCTCTTTTAGAATTATTTGTTCTAAACTAGTTCCCATATTTGCTGGCAAGTTTTACAGACAGATTGACGGTTTTGGCATGGGTCTCCCGCTCGGTCCAACCTTTCCGAATATTTTGACGTGTTTAACGAGGTTTCTTGGCTGGCCAATTGTCCTCTTGAATTTGAGCCACTAATCTCTAGTTAACGCGTCTATGACACTTTTCATTCAGCTGAATACAATCATTACCGTTGGTAATGATATTACCAGCGGTAATACAATCATCACCGCCACATTACCGTTGGTCATGATATTAGCAGCGGTAATACAATCCTTACCTCCACATTACTCTTACATTTGGTGATGTGGCGGAAACAGAAAAATGAATGGGTCATAGCGTAAAAATAGTGACACACTTCTTGTATGTAGCATAAGCACTTCTTTTTAGCGGGCATAACTAGGTCAATATGACCCATAAATGGACATAAAGTGAATCGCTATATGGACAAAGTCTCAGTCATTTTTCTGTGTGCGCATGCGGAGTCAACGCTCAGTATCTCTCATGAACCCAATAAAAATTACAATGAAAGTGACACAGTACACATACAACGCAGCATTTTGTTGACACATTCAACGCAACATTTTCATCATATAAATATATTTATAAAATATAAAAAGCACGAACACCTGCTCCTCATGCAACTTGAATTAATGCAAAGTCGTAACGATCACTCAGGGTAAAACAAATTGAAACTCAAGTTCACACAATATTTTGATTTTTCTTCGTAACGTTGAATTTTGACAGATTATAATTAGATTATAAATTATAAGCAATATCATTATTTATAATTTTTATTGAATCTTATATTTTAGCTTTCATTCAGTGAAGCAGTCATTGCATATTTGGTTTTATAATATATATTAGTTATAACATATTTCAGAGGTAATCATGTCCTTATCGCTCAATGATCTGAATTACAATGACAAATGTTGAATCAACGTTTGTTGTTACAATGACAAAATGTTTTTAATTATCGTATGTTGATCAAGTCAAACTGGTAAATGGTGTAAGAAAGTGATAGCCATACAGCGAAATGTTGTAAAAAAGTGATAGCCATACAGCGAAATGTTGTAAAAAAGTGATAGCCAAACAGCGAAATGTTGTAAAAAAGTGATAGCCAAACAGCGAAATGTATGAAAGGGATAGCCAAAGAGGAAAATGTAGTAAGAAAGTGATAACCAAACAGTGAAACGTTGTAAGAAAGTGAGAGCCAAACAGTGAAATGTTGTAAGAAAGTGAGAGCCAAACAGTGAAATGTTGTAAGAAAAGGAGAGCCAAACAGTGAAATGTTGTAAGAAAATGAGAGCCAAACAGTGAAATGTTGTAAGAAAGTGATAGGTAAACAGTGAAATGTTGTACAGCGAAATATTGTGTGAAAGTGATAGCCAAACAGCGAAATGTTGTAAGGAAGTGATAGGCAAACAGCGAAATGTTGTAAGAAAGTGATAGCCATACAGCTAAATGTAAGAAAGTGATAGCTAAACAGGGAAATGTAAGAAATTGAGAGCCAAACAAGGAACGGAATGTTGAGACCCATTTTTTGATATATTTAACAGGAGCGTGTGTTAATTACTTTAAAAGAACGCTCAGTACACCGAGTAGTACTGTACACTTTAAAACAACTCGTATAGTACACCGGGTAGTACTCTACACTTCAAAAAAACTCGTAGGACACCGAATAGTACTCTACACTTTAAAACAACTCGTAGTAAACCGGGTAGTACTCCTGAGAATCATACTTGACAAATATGGTTGGGTTGACGGTATTGTCAACCGTGGTGTCAATGGGGCGGTTGAATCTGCAAAAACAAACAAACATCAGTTTAACATGCATCGTCATGAATGACAATTTGTATGAAGCATTGAATTCGTTATTTATTTCCTAAAACAATAATTGTTTTTGAAATTTAGTAGATTGCATTGGCATATAATTTTATTCATGTACAATCTCAACATTGGAGTAAGTATATTTATATACAATTAGACTCTTATACAAACACAAGCTTATTTTCACTAAGCACCTGCTTAGTGCTAAATTGATATTACTCAAGTTATGAGTACACGTACATTGAGTTTCTTGTACACTTCCATAACACAAATGATTACCGTGGTGAGTGGAATCTGCACATACAATGCCAGGAATGTAAAATAGGATTAATGGGGTTGAGATATATGATAATAAGGGTTGAGATAACTGATATTTAGGGTTATGCTATAGGATATTTAGATTTGAGATATTGGATTGTGGATTGGATTGAGAACAGTCGTTACAAAAATTTACTCCTTTCTTAACATTACGCGTAGGATTTTATTTGTATTATTTGCAGGATCATTCTCATCGTTCATAAAAATGCAGGAGACCGCACGCGTCAAGTAGTCGTGTCATGTACACTACAGTTGAACCTGTAGGCTGCTGGACAGGACGAGCAGTGGCGTCGATTAGTCGAATAGGCAACTCCAATTCCCAGTTTTGCAGGCTAAGAGCCTATACACGAGGAGATTATTTTCGGAACAGTCCGCCGGCGCCAGTGTGAGGTTGGGAGTTGTCGAGGAAGGGTGTGTGCATGGTGGAGGCATGCGAGAGCGACACCGATGTGCGCGCTTCAGTGGGCGAGAGAGAGCGACGCAGCTGTACTCGGTATGACGGTCGGGCGGCCACTGAGCGCAATAGACTGCTTCAAAACAACTCTAGTTGCTCTGCCTGCAACGAACCAGCTAGTTGCCTCTGAACACGTCAAGCATTACAAATTTTAGTTGCCTCGCCTAGTAGACGCAACTAATAGCCCCGTGTATAAGCACTTTTATACACGAGGCGAATAGTTGCGCCGACTAGTCGACACAACTAAAATTAGTGATGATTGACGTGTTCAGAGGCAACTAGCTGGTGCATTGTACGCAGGGCAACTCGAGTTGTTTTGAAGCAGTCGAGTGAGCCCAGTGCCGCCTCAGCCGTCTTAGCGTGCACGATTGCGTCGCTCTCTCTCTCTCGCTCACTGTATCGCGCACTGCTGTACGTCTTGCTCTCGCATGCCTCCACCGTGCACACCCTTACTCGACAACTCCCAACGTCGCACTGTACTGAAAACAATCTCCTCGTGTATAGGCTCACAGCCTGCAAAACTGTAGTAGACGCAACCAATATACGCAACTAATAGCCACGTGTATAAGCACATTTAGGTTTGGTTAAGCAGTCGGTAGCTGACCGTGACCCTGAGCAGTCAGTTAAGTGCTATGAAACCGAACTAGTCGGTAGCTGATGGCAGTGATTATATTTGGCAGTCTAGTTTTGCTACATGGTTAGTCGTGTTGACTAGTGTTCTTTGCTGTCGTTTCGTCTAAGTGAATAGATGCTGTCCCTGATCTACGTGCTTTAATCCTATGTAATACAGGCACAGTTGAACGTCTCCTATTTTAAAGTGATTTTAGGCGGAATATGAACGTAATAAACCATTTTACTTCAGTGGAATGACTATTTTCACCAAAAAATTGAGTACAAATTAAAGTGTGCTTCTCTATGATTTCAATTCATTCTGCTGCCTCTGTACCGGTTTTTTACTGAGTTTATAGACGGCATTGAAGGTAAAATCAATGAGCAACAGTCGCCTGGAACTACGCTATTCATTGTCAAGGCTTAGTGCTGCAAGCATTCTCTCATGACGATAGTGAATGACAGATGCTGGAAATCTTCAGTTAGCTAGTAGCAGCACGGGCCGGTGAAATGATACTTAAAATTGAGGTATAGAATATTTAGGATTAAGGCATAGGATATTTAGTACTGATACGTAGGATATTGACGATTGAGAGATAGGATATTTTGGGTTGAAATATATGATATTTAGGACTAAGCTACACTATGACCCTGAGCAGTCAGTTAAGTGCTATGAAACCGAACTAGTCGGTAGCTGATGGCAGTGATTATATTTGGCAGTCTAGTTTTGCTACATGGTTAGTCGTGTTGACTAGTGTTCTTTGCTGTCGTTTCGTCTAAGTGAATAGATGCTGTCCCTGATCTACGTGCTTTAATCCTATGTAATACAGGCACAGTTGAACGTCTCCTATTTTAAAGTGATTTTAGGCGGAATATGAACGTAATAAACCATTTTACTTCAGTGGAATGACTATTTTCACCAAAAAATTGAGTACAAATTAAAGTGTGCTTCTCTATGATTTCAATTCATTCTGCTGCCTCTGTACCGGTTTTTTACTGAGTTTATAGACGGCATTGAAGGTAAAATCAATGAGCAACAGTCGCCTGGAACTACGCTATTCATTGTCAAGGCTTAGTGCTGCAAGCATTCTCTCATGACGATAGTGAATGACAGATGCTGGAAATCTTCAGTTAGCTAGTAGCAGCACGGGCCGGTGAAATGATACTTAAAAGATTGAGGTATAGAATATTTAGGATTAAGGCATAGGATATTTAGTACTGATACGTAGGATATTGACGATTGAGAGATAGGATATTTTGGGTTGAAATATATGATATTTAGGACTAAGCTACACTATCAGTACCTGTCTTTCGGAGGCTTGATGGTATCAGGGCTACCGGTGGCGGTGAGACCAACCAGGACGTGGCAGATGAAAATTACGTCTCCGTATCGGAGAGCGTCACTCGCCCTAAAAGATGTTAAGACATTATAATTGGTCAGTTTACACTATACATCAAGCAAATTAATGAATGATGAACCAATGGTAATGATGACTATGTATGATTAAGTGTTGGAACACTAACGAAAGAGTTAAGACCATGCACTCATTAATGAGGGCCCGCAGGGCCAAATGCCTACGATATCGAATTATTGTGAAAGTAAGAAATCAGTAGAAGGTGGCAATACTAAATATCTCCCACCTTCATAAATTGTAAAGTTTAATAGTAAGAAGCAAGTACTGTTCATTATTCAGCTTAACGTATAAAGACATGAATGGTTAAAGTGTATTAATCAACCGCAGCATGAGAAAATGTGCCTAGCCTTTTTTTTTGTCAATGAGATAACCAGGGACCGTACTATAAAAACTCTCTTAAGAACACGTAGCGACTTTAGTACACGTAGCGGTCCAAGTACGTTTAGTGGCCCTAGTAGACTTATCTGCCCTTTAGTATACTTAGTGGCCCAAGTACACTTAGCGGCCCAAGTACAGTTAGCGCCCCAAGTACACGTAGTGGCCGAACTCTCGTCACTGATTGGTGCGCTCAGCTTGAAGAGCTGAACTGATTAAGTGGCTAATACCGCATGAAATATGCGGTTACAAGACAGTAATCCACTTACTGAGATGCGAAATAAGCTCCTCTTCCGTACAGTTGTCCTGTCTTGGTTCCATGCAGTCGCCAGTCGATGTTTTCGTCGGCTATGGATGTGACGTTGCTGGAACTCGTGCCATGGAAAAGCCATTTCACCTCGTACTGAACATTTGGATTCTGATGCTGAAGTTGAGCTTTCTTGTTTTCAAACGCAGTTTTTAGGTACGGGTTGTTGATTTTAAAGATGCTCCGCGTTCTGCTTGATGTTAATACGGGCTTCAGCAGTTCTTGAGCTTCAGAGTACCTTGCCTGTTCTGGTGGTCCATTAGGAGTTTGTAATAAATGTTCTTCTGAGTAGTATGAATACACTCGTCGGACGTCCTTTGTGACTAGGGTTCTCGTGTTGGTCTGTTTCATCGTGATAAAATCAATTGTGTATTTATTTAATTGACTCTGGACTTTTACTTTCGTATTAAGATATGCAGGATATTTATGAAACTCTCTCTCTAAAGTGTCTGAAGAGGAAGTCACTCTACAAGCTGGATCACTACCATAGCTGACTTTTCCATAGTCGGTCCAGTTGCCGTATTCATCTTTGAACTGCCACTTGTATCCCATTTTGGAATAGGTGTAGTCGTCCATGGGGACAGAAACTGGGAGTATAAACCCTCGACGTGTGGAAGAAGAGGTTATTTAATGCGAGAGCTTGTTTAGCAGTTCGTAATGAAATAACTTATTGACGCAATAGCTGACTGATAAATTAGCTGTAAAAGAGAAGGAAACTCTGATATAATAACTTGACTAACACATTAAGTATCTGACACATTAAAATTATGAATACGCATGCGTACTAGAGCCTGTGAATATATTTGTTTTTAAACACTCATGTTAACTTAGTATAAAAAAATTCTTCACATATAAAATGAATTTTTTCACTGAGAGCAAGTATGTGGGCGGAGCCTAGTAAGAGAGTTACAAGTTCTTAACTTGTAGTAAACTCGTTCAATACTTGTGAAGACTTGAATGCGGGTTTTGCCACATGCACAACTCAAAGGGTGATTGCGATTGGTGCATGCTGACAGTGTTCTCGACAAATTATATTACTTCAATTGCAGGGAAAACACCAGTGTAAGCCAATGTGGTTACATTAGGTAGAGTATGCTTATAAATGTAAACGGAACATATTTGTTTGAATGAATTTTATAAAAATTAGATGGAAGAATGGCAATTATTTAAATATTTCTTCGCAATTTTTCAGTTCCGCCTTACCAATTAAGGGAGCTTTAGATGACGTTATTTGAGGGAGAATGAGCGTTAGCACTTCCACTCGAGCGAGATTTTGCGGCGATATCTGATTTTTAGTATTTTTAATTTTTAGCCGTAAGCTTTCATTGAAATTGCAGAATTTCAAGCAATAAATTCTATTTCGAAAATGGTTAATCAATTTCCCAACGGTTATGCACTAACAGTCGTGCTCTTGCCAAAACTTGGAGCTTTGAACAAAACTCAATACCGCCAATTTTTATGTTCAAACAAGCGACAACGAGGTGGTTAGACAACTCATCACACGAGACATTTAATCACTGTAGCAATTCATCACTGGGACGTCATAATTATAACGATTAACCAAGAAATTTCATCATTGCATCAAGTGCATTGTGCAAATATATCTACAAATAGGTTATGTTGGATTAAATTGGTAAATTAATGAAACGTTTCAATTATGAAATGCGTCAATGATGAAATATCTTCTATGACGAGGTGCCAGGGAACCAACCCACCTCACACGTCGGTCACTCAACGCTGTATGAACGTACTTCGTAATATTATCTCAGATGATAAGAAACGGACTTGCTATGTTCGGTGCGAACTTTTTTACTTTTTTGATATTGCTTTGATTTTCTGACTTGAAGTCAGAAAATCAGAAGAGCGATTCCTTCCAATTTCTGGTCATCAGTTATATTGCAGATAAAAAACTGGTGTGAAATATTCTAAAATTTAAGTTAGCGAACAGAACGCAAGTTTGCATTCTCAGTAACGCCCTCTTGCCCTCGATTTGAATAACGGCTAGGCCAAAGACTGGGCTGAAACGGTTAGAAATTAGTTTCCCCTAAGGTTCACTAATAAGCTCTATACAAAAACACAAAATAAGATTCTTAGTCTAAAACCTAGGACCATGCTGCAACTGGTTCGGCAACCCTTGGCATATTGATCACGCCTTTATCGCCATTAGTCAGACTAACAAAATACCGATGATAACATGTAGCGACTACCGTGTACCTTACGTAAAATATTCTCGGCACTGCGGACACTCTCCAAAAATTTCCACGTACGCAGCGAGCTTAAATATCTCGCAAAAAAATGAATGCAGCTGAATGGAATTTGACACATATATAAATTCATTAAGATGATGATTATAATAAAACGGTGATGTTTAGGTCGTGATTATTTCTGATGTTTGGCCTTTGTTTGCAACATTTACGTACGTTTAATAAGTTATGCGAACACAAAAAGAAATTTAAAATAGTGTTTGATTCATAATTCATAGGCAATTAGATTAATTCGCCCAATCACTTTGATTGTGCAGTAAGCTAGAAAATTAGTTTCAGAAAAATCAAACACTCCATAAATGGGGCAAAACTACTAATAAAATATAATCGATAATATATCAAGATATTCAGGAGAGTTTAACGTTAACCGGATTCAATGATGCGGCACATAGTTTACAGACTGTGCGTTATGAAGAGATGAGATAGAAAATCATGAAACAGTAAATAACACTTGAATATCCCTGCTCATATCACTGATACGTCAGGTGAAATTTACGCATGTAAATTATGCAAAGTTATCAAGGTATTACTTTAGATTAAGTGCATCCAAAAAAGGGTGTTTTTTTAATTATATGTTTTTTGGGGTGTAGATTAAGAATTTGAAATCCGTTTTTGGCGATCGGCATCGGAAAACCGATTTTTTTTCAGATTTTTTATATATTTTCTATAGAAAACGACAATGGGGGAAAAATCGGGACAAAATCGGCAAAATAGGCGAAAAATTTGAATAAATCGGATTTTTTTAACTGGAAATGATCTATATCGATCTGGGAATGACTGTAAACCTATGTAAAACCCAAAAATCGCGCTAGGTTAGGTTAGGTTAGGTTCGGGAAATCGAAAAAAATCGGTTTTCCGATGCCGACCGCCAAAAAACGGATTTCAGCTTCTTAATCTACACCCCAAAAAACATTTAATTAAAAAGAAGCACCCTTTTTTTGGGATGCACTTAATCTAAAGTATTACCGTTATCAGAAAGTGACTAACTCATATTCATGTTATCATGAGAGAAACGTAACACCAGAATTCTTATAAAATTCAGGTCGCATATGCTAAGTAGGTAATACTGCGTAGCCTATAGGACAAGTTGAGCTACTGGCCACTGGAAGATTCTATCAATTTAATGTTGGTAGGAACGATTTCACGGAGTCGTATTACAAACAATTAGCTATGAGTACACTTTTACAACATGAACAAATCACTCACGCTTTGCTTCTTTCCTACATGTCAAATTTAATCGTTTGTCCCAGTAACGGGGAAGCCATAGACGTTTCTCGACCGCCAAAATTTCGAGAGTAACCCGGAACGCGTATGTCCGTGTACGCGGACACTAAAAAGTATTAAAACTAATACCAATGCTAATGCTGGGATTTTTCCCGGCACATTGATTGAACTAATTTCGTTGCCGTGGCTGTCGCGTGGTCGGTATTTGCACGCAAAGATTTTGGTTTTATATTCTTTACAAGGAGGCATTGATTACGTAAGCTGCACGTGAGATTTAACATTAGTTATTAGATCATACACGTAACTTACAACTACACGCCACTTTTCATACCTGTTTGCGACCGAGCGCACGCGGTCTTCGCCTCTAATAAACTATTCAGGAACACGAGATAATAGTGTGTATTTCTTGGAGGATTAATATTAATATTGACATTTGACAATAGTACTGTGTAACTTTATTCACTCGCACAAGGTGATTTTTTTACAACAAGAAGGAGAGACGTTAAGCTTTACGAAGAGGACTAGGTTCAACAATTTCAGCCTCGGAAAAAATTCCGAGGTCAGATTCCTTCAAAAATTTCTTCATAAATAGAAGAAAGTTTAATTAGAAATTTATCTACCATTCTAGATTAATGAAAAGAACAGAGAGAAAACATAATAAAATGCTTGAATTTAAACTTGGTCTTCTATCAATCATGTTTTCACGAGTAACGTACCTCTTAACTAAACACAATAAATCTCTTGGTACAAAATAACGAAGGTGTATGTACCTCATTTTCCACACAAAATCTCTCCCTCCATTGGAATTCGGTAGTTACGTGACGTCTTGCGTGTCTGGCGATTTTCGCGCCTTTTCTCAGGACTCTTATTGGTTGAATTTTGGCGCGCAAAAAACGGGGTTCACCCCGTCTTTGCTGACATGAAAAGGCGTTGAGCTTGCACAATAATATGAAACCACTCATTAATCTCAATTTACCACTTGTTAGATACATTTGATATGATTATATGACAAAATGCTGAATAAATGTTGAGTTTGCGTCTAGGTAGTATCCCGAGAACTAGACTTGAACACGAATAGTCGTGAAACAAAATTAGGGGCAAGATACAGCGTCTCATTATCGAACCCTCAAACTTAGCCGCATGCTTGCTTCACAAATCTGAATAGTTTGCCGCAGTCACACTAATTGATAATTTCTGCACTTCATTTATAGTTTTAGCCCTTTTCCCGGGCAAGTTCCGTTCTATTGTTCACTTAAAATCTCCTCCCGAAGTTCAAGTAGAAAATTGTATATATCACAAATTTCGAGGAATCTCATTAGGTCATGAAAGGTAAATAAAAGAAAAGTGCAGAGGCGGGAAATAACTATGGACATACTAAACTATCATGTTCTCCCGCAATACCGATGAGGAAATCAAACAATGCCGGCTCACGTGTGTGACTTAGTCAGCAGCATGCAAGGGTAGCAGCGTTTGCCTTCCTTGGTATCTTGGTACTTGTTTGGGACGTAGCAGTCCGCAGGCCACGATGGATCGCCGCCGCTGATTATCATTCATCCGCCCTCATTTGGGTCACCTGATGTACGATGCTGTTGCTTCCCTTCAATGTCGTAGTTAGCCGTGTAAACTACATAAGATTTTAGACGCTCATTCATATTACGCTTCAAAACAACGCGTGGTACACCGGGTAGTGCTCTACACCTCAAAACAACGCGTAGTACACGGGGTAGAGCTCTACACTTCAAAACAACGCGTAGTACACCGGGTAGAGCTCTACACTTCAAAACAACGCGTAGTACAACGGGTAGAGCTCTACACTTCAAAACAACGCGTAGTACAACGGGTAGAGCTCTACACTTCAAAACAACGCGTAGTACACCGGGTAGAGCTCTACACTTCAAAACAACGCGTAGTACACCGTAGTACACTTGAATTTCAAGTTCACTTGAACATGTTAAAGTAAAATATAAACGCTAGACGTACGAAGACGTTCCAGAGCTTAAGCATCGGGCACGCCTCCGTGAGTTCAAAACTTCAGTGCCGCCGAGCGCTAGCTGCGCAAGGATGTAATGTCGAGTGCTCCTGTCTTAGTTTGCCTATAATGTTCCTGCAGGTCTTTTGATTACTATGTCATGAATTGTGTCACTAGGAGAGTGATTAGTGCCGAATGAATACATGACTGTGACAATACTGTAGCACATTATGTAAACAATTAATCAGATTTTATCGGTTCTTTGTCTAGACTCTAGAGTGAGAGACGCAGGCCTTCTTAATGGATGCCGCCACAGAGTGAGGGTTGCCGTTTGGCAATTCAATCTAATGTCGAAGGCTGATTCAAGTATTATGTCATTGTATTGTTTCCATCATTGTAGTGTTATCAATGACGAGAGCTCATGTTTTTTTGTTGTGATTAAGTTATGTATGATGGAAGTTTGCCCAAAGAAAGGTCATTAACACTTCTCAGAATCGCGATGTGTACACATGTGGTACATTCATATGAAAAATACATATTTTTATAAAATCTTATTACTCTTTCAAATTTAAAATTTCAATGATGCAATTAAATAGGCATGTTAGGGAATGCTTTGAAGTCAACTAATGCTTAGAGAAATAGTTTCATTTTCAAATGCAAGTAATAGAAAAATTACGAAATTTGTGTCCATTGATGAAAGCAATATATATATCTATCTTTGTATGAAAAGAAAATAAAATATTTTCTTATTGATCTGAAACTACCAAATTGGGTGTTGCCAACATCATTATATTTCATACCTGATTGAAAAACAATTATCGCACATGTATGACTTTCCTTCACAGTCACCAATGTATTTTTTTATCCTTTGAGTTTCACCTTTGCTACGGCACTTCCCTCATTTGCTGAGAGTATGTTGTAGCATTCATGGCAGCGCATCCTGACTTTAGTTCTAGTTGGTTCAATGAAAGTGGGCTGTTCTCTTTCCCACTCGATAATTTGAGATATACATCCTGATTTTACTCTTTCTCTGAGATGCTGCTTGTAACAGAAGCTCAAGACAATATATACGAAGAATGATCTCTATAAGGTAAATATAACTGAACTAATAATGTAAATACCCTCAATTTTATTCAGGATTATGAAAACCTGGACACCAATCTCTTTCCATAGTAATTTCCATGCGTAATATACATCGTTCACAAAAAGCTAAGAGATACCGGTAGTCATAACGTGTGCAATTATAACTCAAAACTAATGTAGATTTCTTGCGCGCATCACTCACAGTAAATAAAAGTGATAACTTTAGGCGTTTTTTCGGCAATATGAGCTATAGATGCATGTCTTTGTTTGGAACAGATAGCCCACAGTATTAGAAGTGATTACGATAGGCGGCGTGAGCCAATATGAGCCACAACAGGCATGGCTTCATTTGGTACACATCGCCAGGAATAATGACAAATTTCAACCCTGAGCGATGTGCACCAAATGCGGCCACGAATTTTACGTGATACAATGACAGAACATACCGCTGCAGAGCTGCACACAACTTTTCTCCTTGCTATCTGCCGGGTAACTGAAGATATACAAGTTTGAACCTATCGCCCGTACGGCATTCGGGCCAAATCAGCAATCGCGGCCAACGTGTTAAATATTATTTCTGTGAGCTCATTTGCCCGCCAAAACAGGCAACCCATGCCTTGAAATCCAAACAACCCACGCCCACCTGACGTGATAGGTGCCTGCCGAGAATGTTGCGGAAAGCCCGCGAAAGTATGACTGCAGAGAAACCGACTTGAAAGAATGTTTCAACTGTGTCTGTTCTAACTTATTAGCGTTGCAACGTAATTCGTTAACTTCACATTTTTTTCGCAGGTATCGTAAATATGCAACTGGATTAGTCTGGTTTGTTTTCTAGTGCATTTACTGAGCCGTCAAGCAAACGTGAGTAACCAATTTTTCTATGGGGAGGAATTTCATGAAAGTTATGAAAGTGTTAACACTAATTGAAAGGAAGCCAGATTTTGCTCAAACCGATCTGAGGCCAGTATAGCACCTGAGATTATAGCACAGTTACCACCTATTGTGCCTTAGATTTTGCTTTATATGCTGATGTTAGCATTGAGAATATTTCAGCTCATGCTTATTGTTGTTAAGACTTGTCTTGCATGTCTTCATGTCTAGGTTTTCAAGCGACGAGCATTATTGAACCAACTAATTCTTGAACCAAGCTATGGAATGCTCACTCTTCATAGATTCGAGTCGTGGTGAAATTTTTATAATTTTCTTACAATCAATTTTATTCGAAAATGAAATAGCAAACCATGTCTCATGAACTTTCTCAGGATGATAATTTTATATGTTATTTACATTTGTATTTGATGTTATTTATTTGAACCATTTTAAATTAAATTCTGAATTTGCAGGATTTTATCACGGCAAGAGGATAGTAAAGAATAAATAGAAGTATCGTCTTTTGGACCCTTTTTATTGTCTTCGTACCCATGACTAGGCGACTAGATTGCTACAGAAGTAAACGTATCAATCGAGGCGCGACATTCAAAACAAGGCGTAGTACACCGGGTAGTACAGTACTGTACACTTCAAAACAAGGCGTAGTACACCGGGTAGTACTGTACTGTACACTTCAAAACAAGGCGTAGTACACCGGGTAGTACTGTACTGTACACTTCAAAACAAGGCGTAGTACACCGGGTAGTACTCCTGAGAATCATACTTGACGAACACGGTTGGGTTGGCGGTGTTGTCAACCGTGGTGTCAATGGTGCGGTTGAATCTGCAAACAAACATCAGTTTAATGCACTTAATCATGAATGATAATTTGTATGAAGCATTTATATTATGATAAATGATTTGTACATATAGATCATCTATAATGGCATAATTTTATCGTTTAAGTCGCTCCCAACAACAAAGGCTACACTATAGACAATCTTTTAGTTGGATTTAATAGGATTTTTTTTTTTCATTTCGCTGTTTGGTAAACACAAGTTTGTTTTCACTAGGAATCTGCTTAGTGCTAAAGTGATGTTTATAAAGTTATGAGTGCACATGCATTGAGTTTCTTGTACACTTTCATAGCACAAATGATTATCGTGGTGACTGGAAACTGAACACACAATGCCAAGAATGTCAAATAGGATATTTAGGGTTGAGAAATATGTCTGTAAGTCACTTTCATGCGCTGCCAGACTTAAGAAGGATTCATTGACTAAGTGCGTGAGGGATAAGTAATACACCATCTGTATAGATAAATAATCACGTTACGGGGTGGTACCTGCATGAGTGATATGACACAAATAAAGCTAAGACGTCGACCGTTAGGTCGGAGTAGCTCTAACGCGAGTTAAGTTACATCACGGTGTGCGTACTTATCTGTTACTGAAGGGGTCTTTACTAATTAAGGTTCCCAGCTCTTTTATATAGTCACGGCTTCCGCCCAATACTGAGGTCTTGATCGCGTGATCTATCACGAGATGTTGTCGAGACGCTGACTAAGACCTAGTACTTTTCCATCAATCTCTATAACGTCTAGTGAATATTACGCCTCAATTATATATGATTTAATCATATAATATAATTATAATGAATATAATGAGACGCCAGATTGACACCGAAAAAGTAGGACATTTAGGATTGAGATGCATGATATTTAGGATTAAGACAGGATTTTTAAGATTGAGACTATATTTAGGAGTGAAATGTGTGATTTTTAGGATTGGGACATATGATTTTTAGTATTGAGACAAAATATATTTACGATTGATACAGTTACATCGGATATTTAGGTTGAAACATAGGATATTTAGGATTGGTATATAGGATATTTAGGATTGAGACATAGGATATATACGACTGATATGTAGGATATTTGGGATTGAGACACACTATATATACGACTGGGACGTAGGATATTTAGGATTGATACATAGGATATCTAGAATTGGAACATAGGATATTTAGGATTGATACACAGGATATTTACAATTGAGAGATAGGCCATTTAGGAATGAAATATAGGATAATTAGGATTGATACATAGGATATTTACGATTGAGAGATAGGATATTTAATAATGAAATATAGGATATTTAGGACTAAGCTACCCTAGCAGTACCTGTCTTTGGGAGGCTTGATGGTATCAGGGCTACCGGTGGCCGTGAGACCAACTAGGACGTGGCAGATGAAAATGGCATCTCCGTAGAGGCGAGAGTTACATGCACTGCAGGATGTAAAGACGTTATAATTTAATAATGAAGTGTTATTTTACACTATACACCATATAAGTACACGTAGCGGAATAAAATTGGTGTAATTCGGCACAAGCTTTTCTTCTATGCAAGTTTGATTGAAAACCAGACAAGCTCTGATCAATCAAACTTGTAGCGGTATAAGTACACGTAGCGGCCGAAGTACATATAGCGGCTGTTGTCACGTCACTGATTGGTGTGCTCAGCTTCAAAAGCTGAACTGAATAACTGGTTGATACCGCATGAAATATCATATATGTGGTTACATGACAGGAATACACTTACTTGGATGCGAAATAAGCTCCTCTTCCGTATAGTTGTCCGATCTTGGTTCCATGCAGTCGCCAGTCGATGTTTTCTTCGGCTATGGATGTGACGTTGCTGGAGCTTGTGCCATGGAAGAGGCATTTCACCTCGTACTGAACATTTGAATTTTGATTCTGAAGTTGAGCTCTCTTGTTTTCAAAGGCATTTATTAAGTAAGGGTTGTTGATTTTAAAGATGCTCCTGGGGTAGCAGCTTAATGAGCAGAGCAGCAGTCCTACAACTCTGGAGTACTCAGCATGTCCTGGTGCAATGGGCACCGTAGAACACATTGGTCCATTAGGGATTAGTAATAACTTTTGATAACTCAGGTTTGTAATTATCATAACTTCATTAGACCTATTTTCATGGATATGCTCATCACAACGGAAAGGATCTCTCACTCGTCGGACGTCCCTGGTGACTCGGGTTAGCAAGTTAGTCTGTTTCATCGTGGTGAAATCAAGAGTGTAAATATGTTTTTGACTCCAGAATTGGATTTTTGAATTAGGATATTTAGCAAACTGTAACTCTAAGGTGCCTGAAGAGATATTCACTCTACAAGCTGCGTCATTACCGGTGCTGACTCTTCCGTACTCGATCCAGAAGTCGTTTTCATCTAGGAACTCCCACTGGTACCCTGACATTTCGGAATAGTTGAAGTCGTCAATAGGGGCCGGAAGTGGGATTATAAAGGCCGGAACTTGGTAGAGGTCGTAACTTGTATTATAAAGGCCGGAACTTGGAAGAGGCCGGAACTTTGAAGAGACCGGAACTTGGATTATAAAGGCCGGAACTTGGAAGAGGCCGGAACTTTGAAGAGGCCGGAACTTGGATTATAAAGGCCGGAACTTTGAAGAGGTTGGGACTCGGATTATAAAATTTCAGCGTATGGAAGAAAAGGTCGTATCAATTCAGGAGCTTGTTGTTGTGCTGGTCGTAATTAAATAATTGATTAACGCAAAAGCTGACTGATGAATCGGCTGTAAAAGAGAAGGAAACTATAATATAATAACTTGAATAACTAATTGAGTACCTAGCACAATAAAATTACGAATGCGCAAGCGAATTATGCACATTAATATTAATGTTCTAAATGTTAAAGCTAAGAGATGGCCCACCTCACTCGTCGTTTGCTCGATGTTGAATTAACTAATTTCTTTGTTGCGGCTGTGGCGTAGTTGGTTTTTGCACGCGAAGATTTTGGTTTTATAGTCTTTACATGCAGGCGTTGATGACGTAAGCTGCACGTGAGATTTAATGTTAGTTATTAGATCATACATGTAAGATATAACTTACAACTGCACGCAATTTTTCATACCAATTATGACCGAGCGCACGCGGTCTTCACCTCTAATAAACTTTTCTGTGACCCGAGATTATACATGTAGTGTGCATTTCTTGAAATATTAATATTAACAATTGACAATAGTATTGCGGAACTTTTATCACTCGCATAAGGTGATTTTTGACAACAAGAAGAGAGACGTCAAACTTGATGAAGAGAAATAGGTTTATAATTGAAAAAAATGTATGCTTTGGAAAATGTTCGCGCAGATGTGCCAATTTTTCTCACATTTGCCAGCGCTGTGGTTAAGCTTGGAAGACGATCATGATGCCTAGAATCGTGAGATTCGAGATAAAGCTCAAAGGAAGCCAATGTCGTAAGACAAAGCAATACTATTAAACACAAGACGCCATGAATTTAGTCAATTTTTTTGCTTGATTTTTTAACCGTCAGCAAGGCCTATGCACGTGAAGCAAGAGAATAGAATAGTCTCCCGCGAAACTTTTTTCTATGACATTGAGTTACAGAAAACGAGACAGGCGCCTGTACCACGTGGCTTCACGACGTAAAAATACGGCACAGCCACGAAAATATGATAAAGACAAATCAACCGTAAATATGGAACACGGTTTAAATGTTCAGTGGTTTAAAATTGCTTGATCAAATTCAGCGGTTTAAATATATTTAAATCACTGAATGGTTTAAAAAAGGTTGACTGAGGTCACTTTCATGATCATCCATATAGTCAAGATCGATATAATCTGGAAAAGATCTCTTAACTATGCTATGCTCAACCGATGGGCAAATGTGTCACAGGCTGACATTACCTAAGTTCAGATGGTGAGACATGTGGTTTAATATCTGAATATCTTTGACAACACATCAGCATCAGATTCAACGTCTTCACAAAATCTTCCCAACAAATTTTGATTTAAAAACCTTTACGTGTATTTTTGGCACGAAATATTGAACGTTTTCGTAGTTCCGGGAAAAATCACTAATAGAACTGGCGACACTTAAGGCCTAAAAAGAGGATCTTACCAACACAATTGTTAAACACCATACAATGGACTGACAACAAAGGCTTGGCGTAAAATTGTACATACAATATACATGTTGACTTCAATTTCGATTACATAAACTTAGTATCACTAATTCTAGCGTCATACACAAACAACTGACAATTGCGAAACACAAAAATACGATGTGCAGTATGAAATATAGTAACACATTATGAGGTAACACAACACATACACGAACAGCTCCACATCTCTCACCCGAGCTCTATGAGCGCACTGATACAAGTGAGACCCCCCGCACCCCCGCACTACGCAGGCAGGTTGCCAGCCTAATCCAGATGATGGCCTCAGAAAAAATGGCCAAATCCTCTCACAAAAATAGACCAAAATTCAATAGTTATTAGAAAATTTGTGATTTTCTCTACAACAAATAAAATTTCCGATTTTTTTTTATATATAATCAAACATATTAATTTTAAGGCAAATACATATCACGGCCGGCTAACGATGTAGAATAATAGAACAAATCATCGATTTAGGCCGCTAAAAGGCTCATACGGCAACGGCGGCGAGGCTGACGAGTAACCATTTGGAGATATTGTGCACTTATGATGTTGCTCATACCAGGATGATGGTGTTGTTTTTCAGGACGATGTTGTTTCTACCTTTATTTTAAACACGCTTTTTGCGTATAAAAAGAAAATGGCGTCTCACTTACTCCCTTCTCATCGAGAAGCAGATGAAGCAGCACAGGATTGGAGTGACGCTCGTCAAATGTTGCTTGATTAAGGGGACCTGCTACCCTAAATCGAGGTAGCCTATAACTCCTACAGTTATTAACCGATCATCATGAAACTTCACGTAGCTACAGCAACTCTCATTGCTGTAGCTTGAAAACTGTAGGAGGAGATAGGTTTTTCGTGACAATCAGTTGCATAAGTTGAACTTTTCAGGACGGTGCGACAAAGTCTCGCGCGCCTCGAAATAGGCACTCAATGTAGCATGGATACCAAACTACAGGCTTCTGTAGCTTAATCCACTCAAGGATGCTAGCAGCAACTTGTAGCGCACCCCTCCGTACAATGTTAGGATAAACAATGATATTAAGAGGATTATTCAGAATGAGATCATTTTCTTCTACCATCAGAAAGTCGTCCTTACATCGAAGGGGCCGTAAAGAAAACGGATGACATGAGTTATAATTTTAAAGTTAATAAAATACCGGTTATTAATAATAGATTGAAGTATTTATTCGGTATTATATTTATTATTATTTATTTATTTATGATGTATAAAATAGAAATAAAGATATTGAAGGATACATAGCTATCGTGATATTGCGACAACTTTAAAAGGATTGAGAACTCATCAATGAAGGTCTGAAGAAAACGTATGAGGGGCGACTCAAAAGAAACCGGACTTATTTTTAAAATTATTTATTTACCCAATATTTATTTACCCAAAATATTATGTCAGAATTTGCTGGAGTGAACTCCAAATCACTTGGGACAGTTCCGCCAGTTCGAGAATACTTTTACGTCGATCTTCATGATCAGGTCCCTAATTTTCTCAACATTTTCCTAAGTGCAGCAAGCATAAGAACGACCTGAGCGTGTTTGGCCATCAATTGACATTTCATCGTTTTCGAAGCGGGAAATCCACTAAAAAACTTTCGTTCTTCCCATTGCATCATGAATGTAGGCTGTCTGTAGCATTTCCTTGCTAGTCTCTCACAGAAGAAAGCTAAATTTGATGGCAGCTCGTTGGTCACAATTCCCTTTTTTGAAGCAGGAAGACCACTCAAAAACATGCGTTCTCACTGTTCTCACAGCATTATTCTTGTAGGTTGCCTGCGGCATTTCTGTGACAGTCTATTACAGGAAAAAAATTGATGGCAGCTCGTTGGTCCCGAAAATCAGCCATCATCAAAAAACGACGAGAGCACAACACAAGTGTCTTAAAAAAAATTTACGAGAATGCAACACGGCATTCTAGTGCATCCATGAGGCATACTGAATGAGGGAAGTCCGTAGCATATTCACATGTTGGGAGGATACGGCACTATTAAAACTTCGCCCGGACACTACGGTATAAAAAACTGGGCACTCAGTCCGGTTTTTTGGATACCCCCTCGTACATGATGGTGTAAAACATGCCGTACATGATGGTGTAAAACATGATTGCCACCAAGAAAAACGAACATTCGAATGATGGATGCAGTGAACATAGCGAACAAATTGATTTATGAAATCAATCTTAAATAAATCATAAATCAAATTGATTTATGAACCCTTGTATATAAAACAATGCTAATAATATGTTCAAGTCGAATGAGGAAGATACAACTAATCACGATGGAATTTTCGATAATAAAATTACTATGAAAAGACTAATTTGAAAAATGATGGCTTTTTAACTTTCTGATGAGGTTAAGATCAGTCAAAGGGCAAAATTCGATTGCTCATGGCGTATTTAAATCAGCAATCAGAACAAGCAATAGTAAATGTCACTAGATTGCTTGACTCACAAAATCACTAAAATTTTAAAAGCAAAGAAAATCCACACAAATTCGCGATATCTCAATATTGATAACGTTTCGGAGTCCAGCTTTTATTATATGTATCCAGCTATTATATAATTGTAGCCAGCATTAGAATATGAAGAAACTTTTCTCACGCTTGTCGAGGCGGGGATCAAAATATGCTCGCGTATTTTGTGATGAGGAGTCCAATGCATGAGTCGAGTTAACGATATAGAATTTGGCACAAATCGATCTTCCTATGTGCAGCATATTTTGGATGCAGCGTATCATGGGTGCAGCGTATCATGGGTGCAGCGTATCATGGATGCAGCGTATCATGGAGGATGCAGCGTATCATGGATGCAGCTTATCGTGGATGCAGGGTATCATGGCTGTCTCTTATACACATCTAGATGTGTATAAGAGACAGCATGGATGCAGCGTATCATGAATGCAGCGTATCATGGATGCAGCGTATCATGGGTGCAGCGTATCATGGATGCAGCGTATCATGGATGCAGCGTATCATGGATGCAGCGTATCATGGATGCAGCGTATCATGGATGCAGTGTATCATGGATGCAGCGTATCATGGATGCAGCGTATCATGGATGCAGCGTATCATGGATGCAGCGTATCATGGATGCAGCTTGCATGTACGATGCAAGCTGTGATGCTGTGATACACGATGCAAGCGAACCTCGTGCCTGTATAGTGTTCACGGGTTGGGCCGCTGGAAGAAAAGTTCATATATCTGTGATGAGTACAGAGCAGATCTTATCACTGACCGCAGTCATGGCTTTATATCTTTATTTCTTATCTGTGACAGTATGGCGTGTTCAAGGCCATACTGTCATACGTATCAGGCCAGCTATACTAGATGTCAGGTCCTCCGTATTCAATTACTCTTTCATGAGAAACAGCTTCTTATTTATTGTTATTTACTGTTATCACATATCAATTTGCTTGTTATTGATCAT